TTCTGGCTAGGAATAATACTACAAGTCGAATTGAGGCATTTGAATATCTTTTTGGAAAGGTTTTTAAAATTCACTTGGGCCAAGACATACCTATTGCAAATTCTTAACGAATGAAACTCAAAGTACATCATCTATCCTGACGTCTTTGTATACATCTCAAACCACCCTTTACAGCCTACTCAAAAATTACTGAACTTGACTTTATTGTTCGTTTTTGTTGAGATGATCTTCGATCAGCTCACTATCAAACGCTAGTTCTACCGCCAGTCATGCGTAGCTCAATATATTTTGCTTCATTTTTATTCTATGCCTCACTGCTATTCTAATATACAAAGATCGGGGGAACGTTGGTATCTAGCTATTGCTACGACACGATGAGAATTCAGACGCAGTATGACTGTTAGCTACGGCAAACAGTCGCGCCTTCCTCGTGAAAACGCACAAACTCTAGTATAGTTAGTGTAATTTGTTGAGATGCCCACTATCTATTTAATTTTCCTCCTTTGTCTTCATCACTCTCGCATCCATGTCTTCCAGACTAGAACGACATCTATTAACGGCGTAATCATCTATCCTATGTGAAAGATCCAAGTCAAAATACACCAGCTGGCGAAACCCTCCACTTCAATGAATTGTGAGGTAGAGCTGAGGCTGCTGTGCCTAAACACGGGACTGAGAGACAATTCTTACGTCATAATCTTTTCAGACGAAGTTGAAATCATCTAGTCGGCCCAAATAGTGATCTTAAATTATCCATTCCTGGAACTTACCATATACCTCCTTCCCGAGTCGGTGGAAGGGGGAAAGGACACTTAGAGGTCATGGCTGGCCTTGAAGCTGTCGAGACATCAGGATTTGGGTTAGAAGAGCTAGTCTGGAACCGCGTTTATTCTGACAAGAGATGCAGCAGAGTGAGAAGGGGAAAGAAATCGATTCGACTACTTGTTGAGTGGTGAACTGAAAATCCAAGGCGAACGAATACAAGCTTTCCAACAGGAGACTCCGCCATGGCTTAGGGTTAATCGCCATTTAACATCTCCATACATAGTCTTCCTTCCTTTCGATTCATCGTTCGATAGGTAGAACTGACTTCAAAATTTGGAAGCATCGATAAAGGAATAGTTTGAAGATATGTAGACACTCTACTCCGCGGACGAGGTTGAAAGCGAGATAGAACGGTAGATTTAGAGCTGGGTCCTATAAGGATGAAGGTGCAATGGAACATAGGTAGGACTGATTTAATAAAGTCAATGGGTTTAGATACTTTTGGGGACCAAGAATACTCTTCAGTCATTTGCATTGCTCTCCCATCAATAGCATTTTCGATCTAAGCAGGGCCTGATTTCCAGTAGCCCCTACGGTGCTGGAAGAATACAAGTCGTCACCTGGGCTTCGTGTTTGAATATTTTTTTGCAGAGTCCTTACCTTCCAACATTGACATGGATCGATTTTACATTGCTCTTACTTCTAATCATGGATAACTTTCCTTTGCTGTCAGTCAGAACTCAGTTTTGGAGTGGTATATTACTCTATTAACATTCTGTCATTATTTCCAGGTAAATTTAAAAAGGATGCAGACACTTATACAACATGACAGTCGCTCCTTCCTCGTGAAACCCCGGGGGTTTTTTTATAGCTGCTGCTATTTAACATACTCCCTCATTCATCTTCTCTTCTTCTTCTCTTCTACTCCCTCACTTTTGCGTTTTCACGTAAATATCCAAGGCATTCTATCGAGCCTCCACAAAATCTACAACACAACAAGGTGACAAACTGTGCTAGCCTTTCAGCTTCGAGTCATCCACTGCCATCGAGAGTAAGAAAAGACTGTATTCCTCATCTTACCTTCTGCCTTGTCGTGTTTTCAACGGAAAGCTCACAACAAACAAGTGCTGACCTACAGTCAAATTCCATCAATCAATGATGAGCATCTAGAAATGCTAACTCGCATCCGAGTTCGCGCAACCGAGCGTTCATTCCTACGCACCCAAATTTGCGGTGAAGTTTGCTTTATAATGGAAAATGCCCACTACCTGATGGGCCAGGTGTTGTTACAGAACGTCGCCATGGGAAACATACTACAGGCGTTAGAACAGCGCATGGGGATACTTATAGAGGAGATGACCGATCTCCAGTTTGAAGAGCTCCACGATGCCCGGATTGCCGAGGCAATATGGGAGGACACATGGGATCAGTAGATGCCCATAACGGTTGGTTCGTCGCAGCAAGCACGATCACGAGATGATAGTTGCTAACGCAAGATTTATAGGAGCTTGGACGGCCGGAGATCTTGTTCTAGTCAGCGGGGATTGACTACTCGGGCATGTCACGTCCGGAGGACTCCATCCCTATCTTGACCGATGAATTAAAGCCAGCGTTTCCCACAGCTGCACACTTTTGAAATGTCGCACTCAATGTCTAAATGTCTAAAAAATGCACAGAACAACATCGTTACCTTTAACCCCATAGTAGTTTGATCTTTTAGACTACTCTCTTTGAACCATGGCGATACCTACCACTTCATTCAATGGTGAGCTAGATCCATCTCTTCTCTCAATTCCTACTTCGCGCTACACAATCAAAGGGGCTGATAGTGGCCAATTGGGACCTATAGTAACGAACTGCTCGAACTACTATTGCGGTTTCGTCCGCCGGCAGTTCCTGCGAATTCTAGCAGTTGAATAGGAAAACTATGTACGACTAGAGGAGGGGGTCTGGAATCATGACCGTCAATGTTGCCGATTTAAAGGCGATTTCATAGGGGGTTTCAAAATGAAGCCCACCCAACGAACATTCTTCCAAGCATTCTCATCAGCAAATATAATTGGTCTACGGGTCCCTAGATTATTTTTCCATCGTAACATCATGCTGGACGATCCAAGGTTGTATCCGATAATGTCAAGCTTCCAGATTATGTCCCCAATTTTCCAATTTTCTTGAAGTTGCGAACAACGCCATGAAGATGTTTAATTTAACCTCTCCCATAATCTTGCTTTCACTTTGGCCTTCGATATTGACAGTTTTTTGAGATGAAATTACCTCCACTTTATATCACTTGGCCACAAAGTCATTTTGACTGATGCCCCATCACAGATTTATCTTCTTCCACCCCCAGCCATGTAACTGTATATTTTCAAATTGTCAAACCACGCTTTACATTGATTTTCTCATTGATATCGTAAATCCAGTTTTATTTATCATATCTCACTTTTGATATATTTTAAAGTGTGTCTATATAAGGTTGGGCGCATTTTTTGGATTCCGCATTCTCAATTCTTGATATCCTATGTTAAAGCAGAAGGAGTTTTAAAATAGCTTCATAAGCCTTGCTGTTTCTATTGTAGATGCGACTTCTCCGTTGAGATACAGTCAGCGTTTGTGACATATAAATCTCTCTTCTCACTTCCTTCTTCTTTCCTTTCTCTTACAACTGTATTGCGCGCTTACGAGCCAAGGGTATTACCCATTCGGCCCACACCAGAGATCTGCGATGAGTTGAAACCCTAAAATTCGTTTCTTTACAGCTTAGACAAAACCAACTTACCTCTAACCCACTTCCAGCTCCATCCATCTCTCCTTTACAAGTGAGAGAGCCCCATAACAACCCGCACTTCGAATAACAAGCTAATCAGTGAAAAGTGGTCGATCCTCAGCCTATTCGTGCGCCGGACGACGATCAATTTGAGCAGCTAGAGCAGCTACGTGGTCGTGAGACACAGAGAGTGCAGCGACGTGCACTGATCGAGAATCTTGGCTCTTCAGTCATTGAGGAAGTCGAAGAAGCAACCGCTTCCATTATGAATTTTTATAATACGCTCGTGGGCATGAGGGATAGAATGATCCATCTTAGGCTGCTTCGGCTGCGTTGTCTCGACTCTGAGGAGGAGACCGATGCTGAAATGGAGCGGGACCGTTGGAATGAGGTCCTTTGAAGTTGCCGGGGGTAGGGGGCCTTACTAAGATGTTCCTAAGCATGAGGATATCTTTAGTTGCACTAGCATAGCAATGTGATCATCTTTACCACTGCTGGCTTATTCCATCACAATAGGGCAGCCAAGCAGTATCGAGCTCACTATAATACCCCAGTCGTGAATCACGCCGATATCTTCCAAACTTTTAATCTTGACTTCACTACATATCAAAAATCAGGAATCCTGATATTGATGATTTCCGTTGCCTGCCTAGGTGAGGGACACCCTGAGTCGCCGCGGGGAAGACATATGCATAATGGTTAAAACATTCAACAACCCGACACATAAACTCTAAAAGTCAAGTCCAAGGGAACTGCAGTTTCTATAGCTTCAATTTCAGTGGCGCTTGTTTGGGCGACGTCAGTGGCATAGCCGTTGATGATCCGCAGGGGAAGAAAGATCACAAGTGACGTCATACAACGGGAGGCCAACCTTTTCGGAGGGAAGACCTCAACCGCGCAATCAGATACTGGGATCAGAGAAGAATCTAGGATTAATGCCCGAGTATTGGAAAGTATGATGTACCGTAGAATGCAAGTGTATGTGGAATTGGGTAAATTAAAACTCACATTCCACTCAGTGGAAGAAAGTACAAAGTGGAAAGTGAAAAGGATGCCAAATCGATACCAGTGTCTAGTGCTTTTGATCTTAGAAAAGCCAGAGATCCTGTAAATCATTTTCTGTACATCATATTCGCCTGCTGCTGCACATCGAAGTTAAGGCAGAGTACAACTCAGTAGCTGAAAAAACGTTTAGTCTCAGCCGTCATTGTTTTGTGGCGGATTTTAGAGCAAAGGATGAAGCGTCGAATTCTCGCCCCAAAGGGAGAGCGTTTGTCGAATGATTGGAAGAACAAAGACACCATAACTCCATTCCCCAAAATGACACAGCGTGTCATGAAATTGAGGAGAAAAGAACCGATCATATTTTAGCCAGAGAAGAGAAGAAAAAGAAAGGGTATCGTAAAGGTTGGAAGAGGTGGAAGAATCGTGTCAAGCGTCATTGACACACAGAAACTAGTAGATATCATTAAACTGGGAGAAGGTCAGCAAGGATCCTACGACGCGTATGATCTGTGAGGGTTACGTACAGAGAGCAACTCCAGGCGTGAGAGAGTGGGGAATCGCAGAGTCTGGAGGGGGCGATGGCCGATGAACGAAGCGGGGATCCACGTCTTCGTAGTAAGTGGCACCGCTGTTGTTAGGCTGCATAGGTTGCTCCGGCAGCCGCGGTGATGTACGAGAATCATTTGTACTCCAGCCAGAGCGAGAAGGAATGTAAGAACTTAACACAAAAGGTTAGTGGTCAATTCAGTGCCCGTATTTTTTAACAATGTGGCTTACCTAAGTCGACTGTTCATGCTTGTCGGGCTTTCGGGGACGGAAAGATTGATTTCAGCCGACAGCGTTTGGGGTACGCTGCTCATTGGTTGAGTAGACGCATTCACATTGTGCTGCGGCCGATGTTGCGGAGTCATCTCGATGGTTTGGCCAACCGTTTCCGGTGACACGGCCATACCAATGGGCCCGGGCGATGGCTGACGCATCTGACCCGGTGGCCCATAAGTGTTACGATCATCCATGGGAGGCGGTACAGGTTGACTATACGCGTCAAACCCGCGATTGGCGCCGCCTTGACCTGGGCCATAGTCCGCTGGCGGTCCTCGAGGTGGCAGCATTCCACCGTGACCTCCACGGCCAGCCATTGGCCCTGTGTAGCCACCCCGGGAGCCAGGAGAAGGGGCACGAGAAGGTCCCATGTAAGATCCTCCGCGTCCACCGCGGGGAGGATATCCACCCCGCCCGCGCCCATTGAAACCAGGTGGCGCTCCTCCTCTTCGAGAGCCCATGCTACCATCGGAATATTTGGGACGAACTCGCGGATCAGAGGTGTTCCGTGACACTGGCGCAATATCGTACGGACCCTGTCCCTGAGGCGGAAGGTTGGCAAATTCGTTTTGTGGAGCGAAATAGGGGGTACCGCGATTATCCGGGGGTGCTGGAATATCGCTCATCGGCGTCCGCGAATTGAGAGGAGTTCTATCGTCATCACTGTCGCGCGCATCTGTATGGAAGGATGCGAATGTTGGGCCCGAGTCGGAGTTGAAAGAGTTCGAAACATAGGCTTCCTTGGGATCGACGGGAGCCGGAGCGAGGGCTACATCCGCAGCCGCGGCAGCAGTCTGTCGGTTGTAATAGTTCTCCCCACTCATCTCGGCATTTTCCGCCATCCGGCGCTTCCTTGCCTTCCTACTCACAAGGGTGCGGCGCATGGCACAAGTAACCACTCCGCAAGAGGTGAGGATGATGGTCGCGACCAGCACAATCCAACCTCCCCATCCTAGATGTGGGACAAAGAGCAAGATGTCGACGAGAAATGCGAGGAGAGTCACGAGAAGTGTTGGCAACCACAATATGAGGAGCGCCAAGAGGAAGCGCGGCGAGTGGGAGGGCGCATGGAAGTGGGCCGCAATTGCCAGGCAGAGGCAGATGAGTGTTAGGAAGGCGGCAACTGGGTGGACGATGAGGATCGCGGACAGTGACTTTCGAGTGCCGGAAGGGAGGTTGAAATCATCGGTGCTGCTCAAATCATCTGCTTGAAACTTAGCGGAGCGCAGGCATAAACGCAAGGGAGAGACTGACTGTTCGGGTATCCCACATGAATATTGGTACAGGTCCTACCCTTGCAATATCCAAAGACACCATAATCCACGTTTTTGAAAGTTGCTAGAGGAATTCCTCTGACAATAGGAGTTGAAAGACAAGAGAGTAGCAAAAGCACAAAGGCGATCAGCAGCAAGATAGTGAGGGGCGTCGCAGGCTTGAGCAACATGGTAAGGGGAGACCCTGGAGGTCAGCCTTGTGTTTGTTTCCAGGCCAAAGATCAAATAAGATAGAAACGATGCAAGTAGTTTTTTTTAATTGCCTAGTGGCACATGCGACGCAGAAGTTGAGGTTCTAACTCCGCATTGGCAGGGAACATCTGAACCCGAGACCGAAACAAAAGCTTCCAAGGCAAAGCAGTAGAAGGGAAAAAAGAAGCAAATAAGGGGGAAATCCAAGAATGTACGAATCAAAAGGAATTTGAAGAACCGCAAGAATAAAGGAATAAAGGAATGACAAGAGCGCAGATAAGCCCTTGGTAGAATCCGTGGAGAGGAGAGGTTTTGGATGTCTGGCCTTAGGCATCAGTCAGATGATCCCTCTGTATTTCTACTTCTGCGTCTTGATCTCCCTGCCATCCACCGAGCAAACTACTCTGTCTTTTCGCTATTGTATCATTGCTATCCTCCTTCAATCTCTCCTTCAGTCCCCCTTGGAAAATCCGAACGAGAGACAAATTCTGATGCCTGCCGCGCAGTTCCCCTCTCTGGAATGCTGAGGTTGTTGGCGCAGAGCTGCTCTGCCTTCTCTCATTCGCTCTGTCCAGTTGAAACGCTGTTTTGGGTCAGGTTGCCAAGCCCGGGCGTCGGAGTAGCTGTGGCCAGCAACGAAGGCATTTTCGCGCTTCCTGGTACCCATGATCGCTGGCTACTATCTCTCGCTATTTTGCCAATCTCTTCGATCCTTCTTTACTACACAGATGAAACCCCTTATTCTCTGCCGTGTTCGACTATGTCCTGCTTTTTCTACCAATTGACTATCAAGCTCATTTCTTCTTTCGGATCAAGGACTTCAGAGAGCCGAGATTTGTGGTTTCAGAACCCTTGTCTTATTCAGGATGAAACAAGATCTGTGTTTCTGAAGTATTTCCATATGTACACTTCAAACCGAGCTTGGAGTTTCGCCAGCCAGACTCCGATCCACTAAAAGCGGCACAACACTCTAGTTTCAGTCGGAGAATTTGGCTCCAGAAAACGCTTGGACCGGGTTAAAACGCCGTTGGAGGCCCACAGTCCCACCTTTTTTTTTAAACATGAAACAGGCAGTCTCCACCTCGAAGCTAACTCGATTCTCAAACTTCTCAATTTGCTAGAGACCAGAAAAGGTTACTCGCCTTTGGTCATGATCAGTTGATATCCTTCTGTCGGTGCAAGGTACTGTGCAGGCTCTTTCCGAGCAGAGTTGAGATCTTAAAGTCATCAAGCTTAAACTTGCCACGTCTTGGGCTAATGGCTTCCTATTAAGGTTTCACTACCGTTTCACAATTATGTGCCCACTTACAACTCAGACACACCATTACATCGTTTGACTCTTAAGGGACTGCTTGATAACCTGAAAGCTGTGTCTCTCAACAGAGGTGTACACTATGGGTACACGAAACCGACGTCGCTCACGGCCCTTCTCGAACATCACAAATCTTTGTTCATATTTGACTTCTAGAGGTTCTAAAGAACCGGATAAGAACTACAAGAATGTACTGTTACACATAGTGTAGAGTTGCGATTCTGGGATCTAGGTGCGTGTGTTAATCGGTAAAAATTGTGAACACTTTACCAAAATTCCAAATGTGTGACCTCTTTCGAAGGGGTTGCTAAACTAAATTGTGGTATCTCCTCGTCTTATCTTTGCCTATCTCAACATGGCAATCGTCAGTCTGACTGTGTCGGGAGAATTGAAGCTTCATGGGTTGCACGGTGTCTGCGTAACCCAGCCTGTGAACTAAGTGAAGAGAATGTCTGGTTAGACGTATAACTACCTACCATTCCCAAATGTGACAGAGTAATGCCAAAATCGCTTGATTTGGTGCAAGCCTTCAAACAAGGGTAAGTCGAATAAATCCAGACATTGAGGGAGAAGAGGCTGAAGTTAGAAATGACTGGCCCCAAAGTTATTCGTTTGATCTACGTGAAGAAACCATGCGCTGCCTATGGAGGATTTTCGCTTGGCCGAAAGGGTGGAAATCTGAGGACGAGGGGGGGCAACAGTTAGAGACCTTTGACAGAGCAACTCTGGTCCAGTCATTGGAGAGATCTCAGCTCAGTGGGATCCAGGACACCCGGTTGACACCTGGCTTTCAAGAGCGCTATGTTAGATTTGGAATTGGAGGTGCTGGCAATATGCGCAAGTCCTGCTTCCCTTTCCTGGGTGTTCATGGACTCTCAAATCTCCTATATCTTGAGCTTACTGACATAATCTTTTTAAAACAGAGTACTTTCTCATAATGGACGAGAAATGAGAATAAGTTCACATTGAATAGATTCGGGATTTGATTTCAAGGTCATGCATGATGAAATGATAGATCGACGACAAATCGAGGTGCGGAACGCAGCGAAACAAATAGCCCTGTCCTATATAGCAGAAATCCTTAGAGCAAAAGAGGAAGAAGCTAGGGATGATGCTCATCTGCCCAAAAATCGATCAACACTATTCCAATTGGCTTATTAGAAATACACCGGACTTGGTATACAAGTTTAAAACCAGCCACAACTGTGAGCTATGCGCAGGTTCAATTGGTCAAAATTTCCCATGCACACTCGTGCATAGTCTTCAGAATTTTGCTAGGCAGAAAGACCCAGAATAAAAATGCGGCAAAATGTCGCCCACTGGACAAACTCGTCGACCGAATCACTGGCATTGGACTTTCTGTACTAAGCAATTTTCCCAGACAATCTATAGCCCTTGCACGTAGCGGGTCATTTGATATGGGAAACTGTCATGGCGAAGGAAGGTAATTATGGTTCAGGACAAGTGGCATTGGCTGATGAGAGAAATGCACAAGTCTTTGACTCTGTGGCGCTTTTTGGTTTACTCGCTATGGCTCATAGACAGGCAGAGGTTTTGCATCATAGATTGACGAGAAAATTATATCAAAATTGAATCGCTCTATGTGCTAACAGGACCGACGAGCGATCATATGGATGGCGAAATAGTGGTAACTTGTCCTTCGGGAGATCAAACATACCTAGCAATAACCTGGGCTTTGGCATTCATAAAGGACACCTTGGGGAGCTTGTCACGTTAAGGTATTATGGCTGTCCAGCTTAGCCAGCGAAGAGGGAGAATTCAATGACCCACGGTTTGTACCGTGGTATATTGGGTCGAAGTCGTGGACGGAGAACCAAAAATGCGTAGTAATCTTTCTGAAACCGGGATACATGTTCAGTGAAATACTTTTCGATGGTCATTGCGTGTCAACATCAGGTTAATGCCATCCGCTGGCCGGCTCCATGTAGTCGGGGAAAAAATGCGCAGTACACTAGGCCTAGCGCCAGCCTTATGTTGTTGGCGCCGTACACAAGGTGCCATTCTTCATCTGCCTATCTTGCAAATTGACGCTCGTGCTATCTGGGTTCTGGGAAAAACCTCGATCTTGATTGCACCTGGGAGCTGCAATCTGACTCAGCTTCAACCGCTGGAGTTTTTTACCTCAGAGACAGAGAAGAAAAAAAGGTCCAGTGAGTGTAGACACCCATTCTGTGCATAGAGCTCGACAAGTGTCGGCAAGCAGTTGAATTGAAGGGGACACTCTAGACGCTTTAAGGGCCTCAAGATTTGGTAGGACATTCAGACAACCTACGGAATTTACCAAGGCAAACAGATGTGCGGGAACCTTGCAGCCTACACGCCGACATCTCCCAACGTTTATATGGCAAGCTTCAAACATAGCCAGGGAAGTACATGCGTTTGTTCAAGAGACAGAAGATTTTCAAATTTAGCGCCTACCATCACACGGACATTTTATCTATTTCATTGTGCCTGATATTTAACTCCTAAGCCTCTGTAAACAAAATTCAATAGCGGGTGCTATACGTGTTAAGTTTCTGTCAATTCGTCCATGCGTGGCAACTAAGCTAAGAGCCAAAAAGCTTTGTTTGAACCATGATTGATATAAGGAGCCCAAAAAGTGTGTATTAAGAGATTTTTGCCCTCGATCATATGTTCCACTAAGCCCTGGATACAGCCTTGTGTTTTCATATGGTGTTCAGCAGCCCGTAAAACCCTAGTTTCAGCCACTTTGGGCCAGCAAGGGAGAAAGCAATTACAACACCACGCTGCACAACTGAATTGGCACCATTGTCAATTTTTGGAAAACACCCTGCTTTTTCATTACGTGTCAACTATTCAGGATAGCACTCGTTGGCAATAATTGTCTTGGGACTCCAATGTGGAGCTCGTACGGGGATGCGAGGCAGAGTCCAGATTGTTACGATGTAGTTCTCGTCTGACAAGACAAACAGGGCTGTCGTTTGAATCGTTACCCTGGATATTATGAAAATTTGAGAGTTGAAATTCAATCCTTCAAATAGAAGACAGTCTGGTCTGTGACCTGGTGAGACTTGCGGAGATCGCAAAGGCCAAGCTTTGGGTGATAGATGGTGCTGGTGATCGGGCCGCGAAATTACTCAACCTCTACAATTTTTCCACAGATTTTGATTGGATAGAATTTTGGTTATGATTTATCAAATTGATGGGCATGAGGTCAAAATCTTCAATCTAACTCATCCCTACTGGCCTGTTGAGTGTGAACCTCGATGCGGTGGCTGGGGTGGCTGGGAAACGACGCCCAGCACTACGGTAGACAGAAACACGCTGGGTAGCGATTGCTGGTCATAGAAAAATCCCTTTGTATCTCAAGGGCGTCGGCGAATGCTTCTAGATTAATGATAGTTGCGCGTGGGATCAATACCCAGCCAGAATGACGAACCCGATCAGGAACTTCAGCATGCGCAACATTAACAGTACGTGTATATATGAACCCCCGTCCCGTTGGCTTCTTAATAGACGTTGCACAGCTTTCAAAAAGATTCTATTCGACTGATTCCTATATAGCAATTGGGCCACAACTTGCCCGGACAGAATCTGAACAGTCCGAGGCTGCTTCAGAAGACTACTATTCATTTTCAGATCGAGGTCCCTCTAGTCCCTCTAGTCTAGCACCAAGCATGCAGTTCAGAACCCCAGATTCCTATGCACCATCACCCGCCGTGTCACAAATGAATCTTGCGCAAGAAGATCTTGAGTCCCAACGCCCACCAACATCCAGCACAGTTCGCTTCGCAGAAGATAGGGCTCATATCAGCCACATTTCCGACAGCATAAGATCAAACGAAACTTCTCGTCGATCCCCAAGTGCCTACCCGGGACGTGGCCAAACCCCAGGTCTGGACAGCTCTCCATACGTCCGATTTGCAATCGACCAACTTACCGAGGACAGAGCTCGGGGTGTCCAAAGGACTGACTCTATCTCCACTACAACTACAAGTGATTATCCAACCGACAGATTGATATGGGATGAGGGCCTTGGATATTTTACTCGCACACGCACTCCCATTCGACATGACACGCCTCCAGGGAGGCCGACGTATACATCTCCTTCACCACAAGCTTTGCCGCAAAGGCCGCTGTCAGTGGACCCCGAGTCCTTCATGGCTGCTGATGCACCGGAGAATAGCCTGTTATACCCCCCCTTGGACTATTTACCTCTCGTTCTGCGGCCATGGGCTTTGGCGCTCACGATATGTTGCTGTCTGGCCCTGATAGCGGGCATAGTGTTTTGCAATATTTGGTCCCGTGATGAAGAAGGATTGTGGAGTTACTTGCGTCAAGGGGACTCGAGGTACATTGTGTTTCAGTTCCTACCACAGGTTGCTGCCACACCCATCATCATCTGGTCATTCGTCATTCAGGCCGCTATATATCGCATAGCTCCTTTTTCTATAATGTCAGCAGAGCGACAGAAAGATCTGGTAATAAACCGCCTGCCCATCCTCTCAACAAACTTCGTCTTCCCCGACTTCTCCCATTTCCGACATGGTGAAGCCTTGCTCGGATTTTCACTGTTCACAATTTGGCTTTCGAACTTCTTCGCCATCCCTCTTCTCAGCTGTTTCTTCCAGGAGAAGTTCTACATTATTGACGGACAAGGTGTCTGGAGATGGGCCTCAGTTCAATATGTGGGCTGGACATTGGTGGGATTATATAGTATTTTGACACTAGGCCTGGTGATGCTTTTTGTCCGTTTCCTCCGTTGCTGGTCTGGCTTGATGTGGGATCCCGTCAGCATCGCAGACTTGGTCTCGATCATTCAGCGGTCAAATATCCTTCACGATTTTGAGAACTCCGAGACAGTCCCCTCAGTGCGAGAGTCGCTTGACCCCCGAGTCCTTCGACTGGGATACTGGAAACTCTCAAGCAAGGCCGAGGTCTTTTACGGAATCGGCGAAGTAAACGCGCCTGTGCGCACCCCGTCTCTCCATCAGACTGGCAAAACACCAGAAACCCAATCAAAAGGACTTGCCCATGTTCGCTTTGACATTGAGCAGAACGGTGCATTTTCCAATGATCCAAACGAACACCACCCATTCTCGCCATCTGCCCGTTACCGCTGGACACCTTGGTTCCTACGCAAAATCTCAATTTTAATTTGGACTGTCGTTGTCTTCGCCCTTTTTATCGCCTTCGTGGCTGTTAGCTTCATCAACGGTGCCATCAAGGGTGGCTTCCCTCCCAAGCTCCCAACCCTCCCATCGACAACTGCATTTTCATCCTCCAATTTCCTCTACAGCTTCATTCCCGCCCTAATTGGCAACGTACTTTTCCTCGCTTGGCAACCCGTCGACGTATACATCCGAGCCCTCCAGCCATACGCTGAGCTCTCATCCCCTGGCGGCACAACTGCCGAACGAAGCATTTTACTCTCTTACCCATCCTCCTATCCACTCCAAATCACCATCCAGGCTATCATCAACCGCCACTTTAAAGTTGCATTTGTCTCCCTCATGAGTCTGCTATCCCTAGGAATCCCTATCCTCGCTGGTGGCGTCTTCATTGCCCTCTGGTTCCCATCTCATGATGACATCCGCATTTCCGCGTTCTTGCCTGCATTCTACGCTTTAGTTGGCTTTTGTGGCTTATATGCCGTATCTTTCGTGGCAATCTGGCCCGGCCGTCGTCGCTATCTCCCTCACGACATCACCACCTTGGCCGATGTGATGAGTTATCTTTATCAGTCACCCCTTCTGTCTGATAAGATCCTACGCGAGCCCCGGAGCAAGACAGACCTCGTCACTCGTCTTATTGTTGCTCCGCCCTCCGAGCGCCAGCTGCCTTTGTACAGCTTTGGCATCTATGTTGGTCGTGATGGAAAGGAGCATCTTGGCATCGATCGCTTCCATCGGCCTGGTCGCAGTGACATGCTTGTTACCACGGGTAACATGAAATGATACCCTTGGTGAATTTTTTTGGATAGCATCTGCCGCGACTTAATTGTGATTTGCAATTCTTTATGAGCATAGGATATGGACGATTGTTTTGAAGCGTGCTAAATTATGAACATGCGAGAATGATTTTTGAATCATTTTGACACCTTTTCGGTTTTGATAATTCTTATTCCGACTGCTGCATCCTTGGCGTTTTCGCACACTTTTGGTTGCATCTGATTTGATTGGCGTTGTGCTTTCCTTTAGACAGAATATAATCCGTTCGACAGTGGCTTGGATCTTCAAATTCCCTTCGAATCAATTGCACAAGGACCGTAATGTGGCTAATGCATCATCTTTAGAAAAAGGGGGTGTCAAAGATCTACGTAGAGAAATGTGCGTATTTGTAAACAGACTTGGGTTTGTCGAATTTCAATAATTGACTTGGTCCTAGACTATCACGATTATGTAATAACCGGCCCCCGTAATCTTTTTTCAAAAAATACGGACCCTCGAAATGTAATTTTAGTAAAAAACATGTAAGGGCCGGTTATGCTTAGTCAGTGAGAAATCCGATCCAGCTGATGGTCTAGCCCTAAGAACTCCAATTATCATTCAACTTCATTTATGATATAGCCATTTGCTGCTTTTTATAGTCCAAGAACAATCTGTTTCTGACCAGGCTATTTCTTCGACATTGCTGCACAGAAAAGGGGGTTCAAATTCAACCAGGATGTTGTAATATCCAGGCAGCCAACCGCCTCGATAAGAATCGGGTCACGTGAATGAGATCTGTTATACCGTTTCCGCCTCCGCGCAGGTTTGCTTCATTCACGAGAAAAGCGGGACAATTCTCCAAATACAGAGCTTTGAGTATTCTCGCGGAAGAAAGCCATACTCAGCCCTCGTCTTTATTCACCTTTGTCTCTCGATCGTAAGGCGTTTATTCAACTCCAGACCATTCAGCTCTGTCTCGCATCACCAAACGATCCTTGTTCTCTCTCACACCGCGCATAGCAATGGTATCACTATTCGGGTGGGGCTCAAGCCCAAAATCCGAGTCGAGTCAGCCAGCACCTCAAGCAAAGCCAACACCCGATGAATCTGCATCGCCAGCACCACCAACACAATCACAATCAGCGCAACCACCCTCGCCCCAAACAAACACAAACCTCAAACTTTTCTTCGGAGGAATGACCTTCTTCGCGCTATCTGTACTAGTTACGCGCCGCGCCTTCCATAAAAAGCGCATCTCGTGCATTCCGCCATACTACACAAGCTCGACGTACCACCAGCCGCACTCGAACTCCGCGGGCGATGCGTTCGAGGCTCTGAATCTGGCGACTCTCAACGTGATCTCGTTCGGGTTAATGGCAGGCGGTGCAGTCGGGTATGCGTTGAACATCAATGGGCTTGAGGACATGCGGAGATTCGTTCGGAACGGGTTACAGGGAGGTAGTGATGCGCCTGTGAAGAGCGATGAGGAGCTTGAGGCAGAGGTCACTGAGTGGGTTACTAAGATCCTCGGTGATAAGTTTGAGAAACAGTTGGAGAAGGAGAAGATGAAGAGGGCGCTCCGAGAGAATAAGGTCGATCAGGATACCAAAGAGAGTCACTGACTATGGACTTTTTGAAATTCTCTCATGTACACACACCACTCCGGGGCTATACTCTACTCATGATTTGATACCAATTGTACACTACACATATGCATTTACTGGGCGTTGATTGCTGATTACAATGGAAAGACACCCGAACGGGTGCAAGCAAAATTACATCGTACAGGTTCATTACATGGTATCATAATCTTACATGGAATCGGCCAGCTAGTTTTGGCACACAAAGTGAATATCAGATATCCCCCCTCACTCTTACTTCATCCTCAGCTCAAATTTCAACACCATCCCTTCCACCCCTAATCGTACATTCAACCGTCCGGAATGGATCAGGAACGGTCCATCTCGTCGTAGCGCTGGCGTGCGGCGTCCTTGGTCTTCTCCAAAAATTCGTCGTACCGACCCCTAGTGTTCCGGCCAGCTTCCTCAGTTGCCTCACCCAGTCGACTTCCTTGCGCCCCCAGTCCCACACGCTGGGCATAGATTTCAGTGGGAATCGGCTCGGTCACGCCGGTTCCTTGAGCACCAAGGCCAGATCCTTCGGACCAGCCCATCTTGGTGAGAAGAGAAGCACCGATCGAGGTAGTCTGCACGGGTGTCTCGTCCGCTTCTTCTGGTTCGAGGGCCTTCTGGCGGGCATTGACATCTTCACGCCCGAATGCCTGACGACGCTCCTTTGCACGGTCTCGGTATTCCGCAGGCGCCTGCACGATATCCTGAGCGATGCCCGCCTCTTTGAGCTGGTTCAAGCCCCACTTCACCGCCTTCTCATCTTTCAGTTCCTTTCGGTGGTGTTCACTGACGCGGTCGTGTGCGTAGAGCTCTTCTGGGGTATCAAACTTGCTGAAGCACAACAGGCACCAGTTCCGCTTTAAGTCTGCGAATGATCGAGGGGTTGGAGGAATAGAATATTCTCGCTCAAGTGCGTCGCGGTATTCGTCTCTGCTGCCCTCGTAGTTTGGAGTCGGCATGGGGATGACACCGTAAATAATCAACCAGCACACACCGAGTTCCCTCAGTTTGACGTCCTTCAGGTTTTCACTATGGATATCACTGGTGCGCTCGTGGTATCTGAGATGTCCATCATTCACAAGATCTTGCATACACAAGTAGCAGCGGAGCTTGTCCCAGTCTGCAAATGACGGAGCCCGTGGAGCAGATGATTCAGTCGCCGGGGCAGCCAGTTCAGTGATCGTAGCGGTCAACTCGGTCGCTGGGGCTGCTGAGTTCGAGCCCTCAACGGGGTTTCCGGCATCATCTCGATTGATTCCATGTAGTTCAGCGTGACGGTCACTCCAGAATTGGAGCTGGGATGGCATTGCAAGTTTCTTGGTATTCGCACTAGTCGAAGCATCGGCTTTTCTCTTCTTTCCTTTATCGGAGTCCTTTGTGCCCTTAGCTTGGCCGTCTCCATGGCTGGAAATTGTCTTGTTGGCCTTCTGCTCCTGGGTGGCATCATCTTCCGCGGTTGACAGAACGAGTTCCGTCACGTACGCTGCATCATCCCAGTACATCAACTTCAGCGATGGGTTGTTAGACGGGCTGAATGTGTAGTAGCTAGCACCGGATGTGGCATTCATGACTGGAACAAATACTCCGCCGTGAATGTAGGTCACCAACACCGGCTTTGAAGAGATTGTAAATTTTTCGAAAGAGTTAAGTCGCGCCATTGCGGCTTGTGCATCCTGGAACGTCATTTGTTAGAGGGGAAAAAAAAAGCCAGTAGTTTGTGTGAATTAAAAAGGCGTACTTTAATTCCTGCAAATTCTGCGAATCCGTAGCGCCAGCTGGCATTGGTTCTGCGATCACGCACAAGGAGCACGCGACGGAGAGAGCCGTCACGCGCTCCCAGGTTGCTGTCACCAGTGGTCGATGCTACCTTTGATCCCTTCTTTTGATTATCAGAGGCGCTCTCATTGTTGCCAGATGGCCGGTACAGTTTGGAAACTCCTTTTGCAAGAAGCTCCTCTGTAACAGACGCCTCAAGACCACGAATAAGAAGGAACTGAGAGGGCTGGCTCTCAGGAGCGACATCATTGTCACCATCATTAGCGATCTTAGGAGCCGAAACTCCAGGGGTTCCGGAAAGATCCATGTCTACTTGGTTGGTTAGTTTTCGAAGGCGAGTTCTGTGAGGGAGGGTGATGGTACACGCACCAGGTCGTGGGTCGCCACACTTAAAACAATGTGGACGTGTGGAAAAGTTGAGAATGAGACACTGATTTTGTAAGCGCAGGTGCCTAAGTACTTCCGACCTAGGAAGGGAAGTTCCGGCCGGGGCCTCCGCGCTGACTTACCTTCCTGCAGTTCCAGTCACTTGCAACTTTTGGACGAGCTCGATCTTCTCTCTCGCGGCTGTAGGCGATACGCACTTTAGTACCTCTGTCGTTTGTGGGGCCATAAAAGAAGATGAAAGGGTGATTGCGTTCGACAAATTCGCGTGATGCTTCTAATGTGGGAAATCGCAAGAACCCAAGTTGCCGCGACAACTCTGTTGAACACAATTTCAAGTTAAAACGATGCACGTTCTTCAAGATTGCATGCCACTTTCACATACTCGTCTGTCGGTCACGAATGACTCGGATATCTTCCAGACCGTCAGTGTGATAGGCATTACTGAGTTCAGCCGCAATCTGTGCACACATGAGCGAATTGTCATCATTTGTCGCCGACAACGCAGATATCCAAACACCTGATCCCGGGGATCTGCCTGACCCGCGCACTGATTCTTACAACTCACATGTTCTTCTGTCATATCTATCGGAAGTCCATCCATCATCACTTCTCGGCTCATTTGTCCCATATGGGACTGGCCTCGACGAGGGCTGCGAGTTCGACTTCGATTGTCACTCGCGCTTCGATAACCCTCTCGGTCGCGGTCTTTGTATGTATCCCTACCTCTATTAGGAGATGAGCGCGAAGTTCGACGGCGATAATCATCGCGGTCATGGCCTCGGTAGGCTTGTCCAGATTCTCGGTCTCTGGGGTACTCGAGTCTGCTGTCGGCTGCTAGTCTTCGAGGAGGCGAGCGTGCACGATCTTTATTCATCAAATCTATAACAAAAAAATTCAGCCCATTTCAATGCCACGTGGAGATATTGGCCCTGTGCCGAAGGTGTGTATGAGCTTACACACCATTAACGTGCGGGGAGAAGCTTACCAGGCGAACGAGATCGCGATCGATCATCATACATGCGACCATCGCGGTCATTTCGCGAAGGAAAGGGCCGACGAGCAGATGCCGAAGGAAATTTATCGTTTCGATGTGGAGGCGCCATACTTGGGCATTTGAAAAATGAATGAACGAGAAGAAAGTGCGTACGAAAGCTCGAGAACCTTTGGAAAACAACCAACCCTACGATAACGATAAGCGGCCAACATGATGCCATGTCCCTGCGACCTCGGTATAATATACTTCCGGCCTCTGCCGTGATGGTGGTCGGGGAAGTATATTTCCGATCCGGTCCCTCTCCGTCTCTGAATGAGGTATTTCCGATCCGCCATCATCTGTTTTCCTGTCGTACAGCATACTTGGCAATATATGTATGCACAAAGTATGCAACTGGTTGAGTTAGACTACGTCATTGTACATAGTCGATTCCCAGGACCCTAGAGAATCTTAACAGGAATAGTCGACTGGTTTGTGGCCATTTGACGTCCTTTGTTGTCGTTCTGAATGCCGTTTTGAATGTCGTTTCTATGTGTTTATTTTCCTTCTATGTTTTATAGATAGACAGAAGAAGAAGGCAGGGAATGACCTGCTTTTTGAAATGGGCTTTTCTGTGCAAGACTAGCTAACAAATGATACATGTGGCAGTACTCAATGTGCATGTTAACATGTGCCAGATTATCCCCAATTTTATCGCCTCTTTCAAACGTATTAGTCATTGAAAGTACGAATAGCAGATTAGTGGGATGGTAGACTGAATAACCATACAACTCGCATGGCGGAATATGCCTCTTGCCCATGCCAATCAAAGGCATGCATGATCAAATTTCAGTGAAAAGCCACCCTCTCCTCAATCTCAGGGTAGCGCCGCGAAGATACCCACAAGGCCCCCGACCAAAGGCAATAGGCCCCTGATAGTGTTGAGTGAAATCCAGTTTTGAACAAGCTCATCGACATCGGCGCTCGCCTTCTCAGCTACTTTGGAGTTGCCGGTCGCTTTGGTGAGCAGCGCCGCATTGGTCTTGCTCATCGCTACAATGGTATAAGGCACGATGCTCAACGTGAGAACAGCAGCTGAACCATATAACGTAGGAAGATTTGATGCTCCCCGAACTAATGATCTTCCGGATCGAACGGACCATGCGAGGTAGAAGAATGCAGCAGCAGTAATAGCTGCAATCGGGGGATTTTGCGCTTTTCCTGCCTCGTAGAGCTTTTTCCACTGCTTCGCAAGGATGGTGGATGAAATCTCATTTTCACGTCTGGACTCCAAGATTCCTGGGGCTGCGTTCATGCTGAGTGCAGCTATGTTGCCTTTTTCACAATTTGCAATCAGTTCACTGTCGTCAAGAACGCAACATCTATTAAATGCCCCACGTAGAGAACTAATTTGGGGATTTGCAATCGCATTTAATTAAGTACTGACCTGATAGCCATGCAGCGCCAAAGATTCCCACCGTTTGGGCTAAACGAAAGGTCAATGGAGTTGACATTGTAAATATGTAAGCCCTAAGCCCTAGCCAACTGCTTCTCGTCTTGTGAAGATCTGGTGACTGGTCTCGAATAAGGTGAGAAAGTTTACTTTGGTACAGAGCTAGTTAGCGGTTCGCCTTCTATTTATATTCGACATAAACTGTCAATGACGACACCGACTATTTTTACAAAAGCCGGGCGAAGCTGTAACTTCCGAGCAATGCGTCCACTAGCATCTAACCGAAATCAACCATTTGATACTCCTGCCGATAATGGATCGTTCCAGCAAATAGTGGCAAAGAAATGATCCACGATATCTCCCTAGATTTTCTTTTATTTTAAGACACACGAGGAACTGGCCTGCAATCTTCAGACATGTCTGTTCACAGAAACGACTCCTCCGCTGGTCATGAATGAGACTTACCTAAGCGGCTCTCAAAATCCGGCAGAGGCCGAGCCAATCACGGCCCATTGAAGTAGTCTATCTGTAGAGAGTGCCCCACAGCAGTTGTGCTGTCAGGTACTTGGGCTTTTGTAACCACTAGGCCATGTCATTTCTTTTCCAATCTTGAATTTGGACTTTCCCCTCCGGGGTTAGACTAGTGGTACTAGCTTCCAGATAGAAATCAGCAATTAATCAGCTATAAATACCCGAGCCATGTGTGTTGCCCAAGAACAGTATGGTGAGGAATTGGAGAAACATTAAGGAAGCAAGAGGGAAACGAGGGCGAAAAAGACCAACTCTTTTCTTTGGGGTTGCCGTTCGTTACTTTCTAAATTCCAAGGGCCAACTAGGTGTTACACCACTGGTCGACATGACGTTCTGGCAAGGGAAAAAAGAGCTTTGGTGGAGGAGAAATTTTGGTTATTTAGTGATAGGGAATGATTCATGTTACGATGTAGCTTTTTAAATATTCAAAAGAATAGATCTGTATTCTTTTATCTATGGCCATAGCTGAATGATGACCGGAAAAAATGCATGTATGATGGGCTCCTCCTGTCTCACCAGATGCCAAATGAGATTCAGCCGCTTCGCTTCAGCCAGCGTATTGAAGAGGAAGCGTAGTTCGGTTTCACCAGCGCACGTCTTACTATCAGCTACATCATCTATGTATTGCTATGGAGCTTTGTAAACGTGGGAGGTACAAGTCCAAGTTGCAAAGCCTGCAAAGCCATTGCTTGATTGGGTAGCAGTGGCTGGGCCGTCGAGGCAATTTAGTGCCAAAATGGGACACCTCCAATTGATATGCTGTTCAAACGGACGTTTAACCAAGTTGAAAAGTAGCTTTCCACCCGAGGGATAGATGTGTATTGACTAAAGGACGTTCATTCAATGCATCTACTCCGTGTTCCGATCCCAAGGACACGGGAGGGACTCGTCAACAGGAAATGGTTCTCGTTGGCCAAAAGGTAAAACGAATGGCTCCGGTGGCCATTGTGTCGACTGATATGGGACTTTCCAGCTATGCGATCCCGATCCGACGTGTTTGAATTCCTCCAAACCCGGCAATTTGACCTTCGCCGCCGTGTTGGGCGGAATTCGAACCTCAACCCAAATGCTCTCCTCCTGCATTTCGGAATCTTGTGTAATCTTCCACCTAACTCTATAGATTCCATATCCGCTGAGATATTCACCCTCGGCCCATTTCAAACCACCTCCGGGAGTAGGTTCGATTGTGATGGTTTTCCAGCCAGCTTCCTCAATGCGGAATCCGAGGATGAAACCATGCATCCAGCTTGCGACGGCTCCCAACGCGTAGTGATTGAAACTTGTCATTTCTCCCGGATTGATTGCGCCATTGGGCAACATACTATCCCAACGCTCCCACACGGTAGTGGCTCCCATGGTTACCGGATATAGCCAGCTTGGATTTTTCCGGGAGAGGAGCATACGGTAGAACACATCCGTCAGTCCGACTTTGGACAAAGCGTGGCCGATATATGGAGTACCAGCAAATCCTGTGCCAATCTTGTACCGACTTTCCAGTATAATTCTAGACAGGTAGCGCGCAGCGTGTTGTTCTTGCTCTTCAGATGGTATCAAATTAAACTGGATCGCAAGCGCGAACGCGGTTTGGGTGCAATTTGCCACGAGGCCAGCCGGGGTGATGTACTCGTGACAGAAGGCAGATCGAATCTTCTCCAATGCCACCGTGTATGCCTGAACATCTTCCTTCTCGCCTAAGATCTCACTGATGCTCTTCATCAATGTGGTTATATGAGCGAGGAACGTATCCGAAACGAAGGTTGGATCTGTGGTTGCTTTTCCACAGTCATCAGAAGGAGCAGCGGGATCGAGCCAGTCTCCAAGTTTCCATTCGGAGATATAGTTCCACAATCGGTTTTCACGGCGTGGAATGACATCCAACCAGGCTTTCATACTTGAATACTGTCGAGCTAGGAACTGTGAGTCACCGGTGGCTCGATACAAGGACCATGGAAGCATCACGGAGACGTCTCCCCAGATTGCATGTGCATCTTGATCAAAGCCTTCGAACACGCTTGGAACCACTAGCGGTACAATCCCTCCGGCCCTCCGCTGTTCATACCGGAGGTCATCCAGCCAAGTCTTTAGGATTCCTCCAGTCCGGTAGAGATAGTTCCCGGCATCAGCAAAGACATTAATGTCACCGGTCCAACCTAGTCGTTCGTCTCGCTGCGGACAGTCGGTTGGTATCCCAACGAAGTTTCCTCGCATCGACCAGGTGATATTCTCGTGAAGTCTGTTGAGCAGAGGATTCGAGCATGAAAAGGACCCTGTTTTCTTCATGTCTGTATGCACCACAATTCCCTTCACGGAATCCGTGGTCAGGGTACCTGGCCAGTTATCTACTCCCACATAGCGGAAGCCATGATACGTGAAGTCTGGTTCCCATTCGAGGGTGCCTTGACCATCCAAGATTACAGTATCTCGGGCCTTCGCATTCCGCAACGTGCGGGTGGCGCATTCTCCATCTTCAAGGACTTCAGCGAATTGGAGCTGGATTTGGTGTCCAGCGGTACCTCCAGAGACCTTGATTCGAAGCCAGCCCACTATATTTTGCCCCATGTCAATAATAGACTGACCGGATGGACTTTTCAGGATTCCAATCGGTTGAATCTCTTGGGTGCGCCTTATCGGTGGACCATCCGGGGATTCAAGACGGTCGGTTATTGGTTTGCAGGCGACACTCCCCCATTGGGTTAGTTGCGACAATGACTGGGTTGCATCGAAGACTTCACCGTCATAAATCTCTGCAGAAAGTGTCGGTCCATATCCCCATTGCCATCCGCTGTCTGTTCCCAGCAAAATCGGGTCACCTTCCTCGCACTCGACTCGCAGGAGAGCGACTAGTCCAAGGGTAGAGCCATAGAGATTCGTCTTCCCAGCGCCCCAGCCAAGGCGCCCACAATACCAACCTGGGGCAACGGTGACATGAAGCGTGTTGAGGCCGTGATCCACAAGCGAGGAAACATCATATGTTTGATATGTGAGCCGGTTCGTGTAGTTGGTCCACCCTGGTGACAGCACGTGGTCACCAATCGAGCTTCCATTCAGTTTAGCAGCGTAAATGCCATGAGCAGTGACATAAAGACGAGCGCGACGGATAGGTTTCTGAAGAGAGAATTCTCGCCTGAAGACTATCGGCCGATTAAACCCTTCCGTCTGCTCTATAGTCTCAGCTTCAATCAGATGGCACTGCCAGTCATCCTGATTGAGCAGGCCAGTTTCCACTCTTGCTACGTCAGACCATTCTGTCGCGTTGCCATTCTTATCCGAAGCGCGAACCCGAACGAGGGCAACTTCCATGGACAACAAGGGCGTTGTAGGCCATAAAATAAACAGACATTGGTCTGAGTCAGAGTCAAAGGTTTTTGTGACCCCATGGCGTGAAATCTCAATGGTGTAAGACTGTTGTGTCCAGCTCTGATCTTCTCCCGAGTAACTCCATGAGATGCGAGGGCGATCTTCTCCTATACCAATCTCCTTTGCTTCATGATACTCGAAGCGAACATCAACGACATTTGGCATTGTGAAATGGTCAGTTGAATAGACCAGAGCTTCCATGTAGGTTGGAAAGAATACCCCCACAACGTACCAAATTTAGCGGACAGTGCGGGGCTGTTGTTGGCAACGGGGCAATGCCACGGTGGAAAATTTTGAGACACGGCCTGATGATCCACCCATCTCTACAAATCCCATCGATCGGAGGATTTGAGCAGGAGAAGAAATCTGTTTTTCCACGTCCCTATGGACCAATTCCCTTCACGGAAGCCGTGGTACGTCGCCAGATGCGCGTCAGGGAAAATCCCCATTGGAGCATGTCGTTGACTCCGATTATTGCGATAGACGTTTAAATTGGATAGTTTCGCATCCTAAGTAAGTCACGATACCTTTTCGCTCGGAAAAGCGCTAGTTTTTTTTTGTCGGTGCCGTCGTACAAGACTTCACTCAGAACTGTTGCTTTGCAAGGATTCATCGTTTCAAGTTATTTATGTTCGCGTACTAAAGACTCAGAGTCAGTCTAGGTTGACTTCGATCTAATTTAACTCGAGTGATCAGTCCATCGCGTGATTTTCAAGAGCCTCGCTGGTTACTTACTCTCCAGATTTCCAACAAGGTCAAGCGCATTATGAACAAGTTCCGAAAATTAAGACCTCTAGATTGGTTGAACAAGGGCCAATCTGTTTTAATTTCTATTGAGTATTTGAAGTTCGATCCGAGCCAGTTTCGTGCCATAGAAGGCGATCGAAGATCATCACTGACGAGCAGAGTATAGAGATGAACACATGGGCTGATCACAGCGATAAGCTCTCGTAGATGAACCAATTGAAATCGCAATTTTCGATGTCTGTGCTATGCTGTAAAATTTTGGAGATTGTGTTTGTACTTCCTTTGTATTAGGTGGCTTCTTGTGTGCGCTTTGTAGTGTATTGATCCCCGTGTGAGTCGAGTAAAGGGGAAAGGAGCACCTGGTGGAAATGGTGGCAGCTAATGTGCATTGCTAGGAAAGTCCTCCCTAGCCGTTGCGGAACAGAGGAGACAATGTTTTCTGTGTTGTGCGTTAGACTCGGGGGCATTATTGCCTCCCAGATATCTAGACAGCCTTCCAATATGGCTGCCCCCTGGCAGTAATCATGAAAACATACCAAATCTTGGCTTCTCTGTCTCCGGAGAACACTAGTCTTGTTAAATTTAGTACATGCCATTGCCACATGAGCTTGCAGCATTCACGGAAACCCATGTGTAGCGACATTCCTCTTAGAAGATGGGACTCTTATCTTTAAGCATATTCCAGAGCGACAAGGTTTCTGCGTGTAGTAGCTTAGCGAGATCAATTATGAGATGCTTTGCTTTCGCATCACATTCCCCGTCGTAGTAGTAGCCAATGAAGACCAGGCCTGTTAATGCCGGGCTTCCGGGCTTAGAATAATGACAATCTGTTGAGCTAGACGGACAGCTTCGTAGATGAAAAGGTTTCTCCGCGAGCCATGGCTTGTCGGAAAATCTAGCAGCAAGTGCATACACGGCATAAACATGCATTATGGATGCTGTGCCTTCATTTAACTGGTGCACAAATCTTGCTTCGTGGATTCTTGTATGGATAACATTGTGAGTGAAGCGAAAGCGTAGGACAACCAGATCATAGAATACCTCCCGGCTGGTTTGAATCGACATCTCCCGGGGACCATGTGGCAGGCTGGTGACGAAAAAATTAGGCTGCACCTTCCGGTATGTATGCTAACATTTTACATTCGGCATCACACGGATGATAGATGAAACACCCCTGGCCGGCAATTGACATGGGCTGCAACTCCTGCTCTCAGAAAAGATTTGGGACATCCTGCCAGAAATAAGAGAAAGGGTAGCAAATCAGTGCGCTGGGGACTCAATTCTTCGAGTGTAGCATATTGGAAAGCGACAGGGGGAATGGGAAGCTGGATCTTCCACGGTCCACCCCCCATGGTTCTTCTGACTAAGACCAGGATGGCCACCTGGGCAGAATAATACAAAGACCGAATCCTCTGAGTCAAAGCAACGTATCAACGTTCAATCCGCGGGACAGGGGATTTGACAAGTGATGATCTTGTCCAGGAGAAATCTGAAACCTGGTCCGCCAAGGACCCCCTCAAACCCAGTTGCATCATCGCACCCATTACCTACCATGTGGAGACGATCCACAGTATCGTGTGGCTTCTGATTCAACCGACGCAGCTGCACGCGAAAGCACGGCTCCCCTCTAGTGAGCTCGGGCCGACAGGTCAACAGCTAAGGGCCCCCGAGCATTTTCGCCCGGCGGTGGAAGAAACATAAGCAATTGACCGTGCTCCCAGTGTCCTTAGCAACACAGTTCCTACAGCAAATGACAAACTATCTAGGTAAGGGTGCTCCAGAATCCTAGAGTTTCTCTTCTTTCTGCTCGGAACATCATTGCATCCTCTGTCAATTGTCATCCACATCTGAAACCGCCAATGGGTACCCCAGGAAAGTCCAACCACCGTGCCTGGTGGAAAGAGAGCTCGGTGTACCAAATCTGGCCTGCCTCCTTCAAGGATTCAAATGACGATGGTATCGGTGATATCCCCGGTATCATCTCGGAGTTGGACTACATCAAAAACCTAGCCGTGGATATCATCTGGCTGTGTCCATCATACAAATCCCCACAGGTGGACATGGGCTATGATATCTCCGACTACTACAGTATCGCCGATGAGTATGGCACAGTTCAAGATGTCGAGAGGTTGATTGCCGGGTGCCACCAGCGGGGGATGAAACTTCTGATGGACTTGGTCGTCAACCATACCAGCGATCAGCATGAATGGTTCAAACAGTCGCGCAGCTCCAAGGATAACGAGTACCGTAACTGGTATGTCTGGAAGCCGGCGAAGTATGATAAACAGGGCAACCGCCTGCCGCCCAACAACTGGGTGTCTCATTTCCAGGGTATGTGCTGTTATTCCTATCAGTCAAAAAAATAACATCCCATCTAACCTATAATCCACTTCAGGAAGTGTCTGGCAATGGGACGAATTGACCCAAGAATACTACCTACACCTATACGCGGTCGAGCAACCCGACCTCAACTGGGAACACCCACCTGTCCGCAAGGCCGTGCACGAGATCATGCGGTTCTGGCTCGATAAAGGCTGCGACGGGTTCCGCATGGACGTCATCAACTTCATCAGTAAGGAGCAGAGCTTCCCGGACGGACCCATCAAAGACCGGCGGACTCCCTGGCAGTGGGGTGACAAGTGGTACGCCAACGGCCCGCGTCTGCATGAATACCTCGCGGATCTTGGCAAGATTCTCAAGGAGTACGATGCTTTCAGTGTGGGTGAGATGCCATTCGTTGCCGACGAGAAAGAGGTGCTCCGTGCAGTGCAATTCGACCGCAACGAAATCAACATGATCTTTAACTTCGAACATGTTGACATTGACCACGGCAAATATGACAAGTTTGAGCCTGGGAGCTGGAAACTCACGGACTTGAAGAACTTCTTTGAGCGTTGGCAGACGTTCATGTATGCCAACGATGGTTGGAATGCACTCTACTGGGAGAATCATGACCAGCCGCGATCTATTGATCGCTATACAAGTGCTAGTGAGGAGCATCGACTGGTCGCATCTAAAATGTTGGCTACTGCCCTGGCATTTCAGGCCGGTACTCCGTTTGTTTACCAAGGACAAGAGCTGGGAACAAGGAATGTGCCCACATCATGGGGTATCGAAGAATACAAAGACATCGATTGTCTGAATCACTGGAAACGGTCATTTCACTCTCCTCGTGCGGCTTGTGGACATTGGCTAACTGAGTGTTTCTCTGTAGCATCCGCAAGGACGACGCCGCTGCCCAGGCAATTGCTCTACGGGAATATCAGAAGAAGTCACGCGATAACGGACGCACTCCAGTCCAGTGGTCAGCTGCTGAGAACGCCGGTTTCACCGGACCTGGTGTCAAGCCCTGGATGTCTGTGAACACCGATTATGTGCGGGTCAACGCCGAAGTCGAAGTCAAGGATCCCAACTCAACATACCATTACTGGGCGACTGTACTGAAGTTACGCAAGAAGTACCTTGATGTCTTTGTGTATGGTGATTTCACACTTCTGGATAAACCAAACCAGGAGGTCTTTTCGTACACTCGACAGTATGGAGACCAAAAGGCCTTGATTGTGTGTCACTGGACAGAGAAGACTCTGGAGTGGGATGCCGCCAGCAACGGTATCACTGCCGTGAAGCAGGTCTTGCTTAACACCTATGATGGTGATGAGGCTTCCCAGCCATTCTCTGGTGGAAAGTGGACACTTCGACCCTATGAGGCTGTCGTGATGCTCCTGTGATATAAACATGATGTCTGTGAATGACTACAGACCACTTCCTTCATACATTGTACCTAGACTGTTTTCCTCGGGGAAGAAGTGTGAACGCAACTCGAAGCAGTAGAATCCAAATCACAGAACAAGAACAGACACAAATTCAACAGAATCAAAGCTATGAATTTTTTCACGACCGCTCTCCGCAGATGATCGGGGGAGGCGGGGGGCACTCTTATCCGATCCCCGCAGCAGATAAGCATCGAGGGGGACCTCGCTGCCACAACTCCAATTCTGACAACGTTCGACATCAGAACGATTGAAAACTCCCAATCCCTCAACCCAATAGATCCTCCAGAATCCAGTACCCAATGAGCTCCTCAGAACCAACCACCCTACCGGCCCATCTCGACCCAAAAACCTACCCACGCACCCACCACGACGCATCACTAAACATCCACCTAACATTAACCTACGACACCCTCGATGCAAACACCTGTCTATCCCAAACCTCCTCCCCAGCCGCAGGCGCCAATATCCTCTTCCTCGGCACCACGCGCGATACCTTCGAAGGCCGCTCCGTCTCGCAGCTCAGCTACACAGCCTACCCACCTCTAGCACTGAAGACGCTAACGGGGATCGCAGAGGCTGCCGTGAAAACGCATAGGCTCGAAGGAGTGAGTATTGCGCACAGACTGGGAACTGTGCCGATTGGAGAGGCTTCTATTGCGATTGCTGTTAGTGCGGGGCATCGGGGCGCGGCGTGGAGGGGTGGCGAGGAGGTACTTGAAGCTTGTAAGGAGAAGGTGGAGATTTGGAAGAGGGAGGAGTTTGTTGATGGAGGGATGGAGTGGAGGGCTAATACGGATCGGGACGCTGAGGGGAGGGTGATGGGGTCTGGGGGTATGTAGGGCAATGTTGGTGTTTGGCTGGAGTTGTGTGTGATCGTGGTAAATTAAATAAGCTTGGGCTGGTTGGTGGGTTTCTTGATCGTGGTTCGTGAGTTACGCTGATGGGTTCTTTCACAGATGCTGTCCAAACAAAACTTTGGTCACCCTCTTTGTTTGATTGTCTCGACCGAGTTTTGGCCTGTATACGCCCAGGGTAACGAGCACAAGCACGGAAAACAAAACGCATTTGGAACACGGTTCCGGCAAGAGTAGGGTATTCAGATACTCAAACGACTATATTGTACAATTTCCATACATATGCACCTAGCACAAGACTCTTACTCGGTCTTCAACGGTCTTCCCTCCCTCTTCCAGTCATTGATGTGCTCCAGGATCACCTTGGATGCAGATTCGGGGGTATCCTGGCGGCCGATACATTCCACAAAGTCATTGTCGGGGTCTATGATAAACGGTTAGCATACTGGAACTAGATGCCTAGGTTGTAGCGTCATCAGTCTACTCACCCATAAGGTAGAAGTAGATACTGTGATCCACGAGATAATCCTCGCCGGGCTTCACATCCTTGGGAGTACTGAAGTACACACGGTACTGCTTGCACACGTGCTTGATCTGCTCGTATGTGCCAGTCAAGCCGACGATACCGGTGTGGAACTCCTTCAGGTACTCGCGCAGCACCTCGGGCGTATCACGGACGGGATCGCAAGTAATGAAGACAGGCATAAAGAGCTTCTCGTCACCAGTAGCGGCCTTGACCTTCTCAATGATCTCGGCCATCTTGTCAAGCTCGTCGGGGCAGATATCGGGGCAGTGAGTGAAGCCGAAGTAGACCTAAATGAAAACAAAGGTGTGTTAGAAATTACCAATCCCGATCCAGCACATCAAATCTATCAATGCTCTTCTGCTTCCGAGTCGGGGATAACTCACGAAGCTGTATTTGCCCTTCAGGTCCTCCGCCGTAAACTCGTTCCCATCAAGATCCTTCAGCACGAATGGACCGCCAACCTTCGGCTTGCCAACACCCTTGCTCATCTCCGTCATGCGCTTGCGCTCGAGACGAGCCTTCTCAACTCGGAAGTAAAGCATCATACCGGCACCGGTCAACACGAAGAGCAGTGCGGCCTTCCACGAGAATGGGCCGGTCGAGTTGCGCTGGCGCATCTGGCCCATTGTCTTGGGGCCTGCTCGGAAGGCGGAAGTTGAGAAACTGTTCGGCAGGGAGACCATGGTGCGCATCCTCTGGTCACATCGTGGACGCTGTGCTTGGGTGTAGGCTCGGCATTGTGATGCGGTGGTGGTTCGGAGGAGAGGGAGAATGCGTTGTGTTGGGGTGGATTCAATGGCAATTTTACGGGTGGTCCGGGTTAAGAGCCCACTTGCCAATCTCATGGGAGAAGGCATTTTGATTGTGAAGCAGCTGTGGTTGGGGAGATCGCGGAGGGATGGTTGATTATCAATTGCCCGCTCCGGGTGGAATTCAAGAATCTCCAGCTCAATTCAGTTTAGTGTCGTTGCCTCAGGCGTGAATTAAAATGCTGCTCTCTCCACTTGTTCGCCAACTTGTTTGAGTGGAAATTCAAGACATTTAAAACACACATTGACGAAGGATGAATCTGCACACAACACTATGGACTCTGCCTTGCAGAATCGCCTAGAGGTTAAATAAAGACCATCAACCATAGAGAGAAAAATGGCTGATCACAATCTGGGGGCTGGTTACTGCTAAAGTTTGTTAGAAGACTAGCAGATCATTCTTAGACAGGATCGTTTGTACAAGTTGTGCTTTTCACTGTGCTCTACATTTCCTGGCTACTTGGTCTATGTTGACACACAAGGAAAAATGCACTACGACACTTGAAAAGACATGGCAAACAAAAACATTCAAAATCAAACTTTGTAACATTTTAATAATTGTAACGTTCAAACATCATATCAAACCAACCGCCGAAGCAAGTAGAAGACTCTAGAATCTACAGAAACGGAAAAGAAAACGAGGGAAAAAAAAAATAAACCACCTGTCTACACCACGTCAAAAACGAATCCCACTAAGCCAGTACCACTTGAGAACAGGCTCTCAGATAGCATCAGGGAAAGTGTGAGGGTTCTTGAGAGTCGGAGGAGTAGAGCGCTTAGTCGGGCCAATGAGATGGTCAAAGGCAGGTGAGTGCTCGACACGAGGACTCAGGTCCTCCAGATCCCACAAGTAACCGAGGGTCTTCAGCACGGAGGTAGCACTGTACGGGGAAGACTGGCCGGTGGCGGGGTTGGTACCGTAGCCCTCAATGTAACCCTTGGGGGCATAGGGGGACAGCAACCAGGTAGGGATACGACCACCGAGACGATCAAAGCTGAAAGTGTACGAGCTGCCATCATGAGCGGTCTCGGTGTAGGTCTTGTTGTCGGTGCGGACGGCGAGAGCGGGTGCGACGTGGTCGAAGAATCCACCTGTCTCGTCGAAGGTGACAAGGAAAAGGGTCTTTTCCCATTGAGGGCCGGTGCGGACGGCATCGTAGATCTGCTTCAGGAAAACCTCACCGAAGGAGACGTTGCCGGAGGGGTGCATGGAGTTGGAGTTCAGGCCGCAGCAGGATGGGTTGATGTAAGACAGCTGGGGGAGGAGGCCCAGGTAGGCGTCTTGGTAGAAGTTCTCGAGCGGGACAACGTTGCTCTTGGCGTTTTGGGCAGTCCAGTTGAAGAACAGGGAATCGGGAAGGAAGGCGCCGTTGGTGCCGTCGTAGTTGAGCCACGAGATACCCTTCTTGGAGGCGACCTCAAAGATGCTGTTAGTCGGGATGGCGGAGATATCAAAGTCTTCGTCATTCTTGCCGTGGCCATCAGTGACACCGGAGACCGCGCAGAGACGGTTGGGGTTGGTGGGCTGGTTGGGGGTTAGTTCGACCGCTTTGAACGCTTGGTAACACGGACGGTACGTACACCAGGGACACAGGAGTGCCAGTTGTTGAAGGTAGTAAATTCATCAACCATATCAACGATAGTGGGGATTTGACTCTCGGAGTAGTATCCCATGACTTCGTCGGTTGCGCGCTGAGCGGAGATCTTGGGGTGCTGAAGAATTTGGCGGTTGACAAAGCCCGACAGGTTGGGAGTTAAGGAACCATTGGCAATGGCTTCATTGTCAGGGTTGTAAGTTCCATAGAGCTCGAAGTTGGTGCCAGTGAGCGAGTGGTCGGGGTCATTGAGAACCGAGTCGTAGTCCTTGGACTGGCTGGACCACTTCTTACTCTTGGGGTTGGCAATATCCTCCAGATTATAGAAAGGACCATTGTTTACGACATTGTCCAAGCCCTTCCTCTTAATACCACCCAAAATGTTGTCGAATCCGCGATTTTCCAAGAGAATCCAGACAACATTCTCGATCTTGTCCTTCAGGTTGGCAACAGATTCCGGTGAGCCAGACTTGTAGCCGAAGGGTGCGTTTCCGCTGTTGCTGTTGCTCACGGCCGCACCGATGGCGCTGCTGGACAGACCAAGCAAGGAAATGAGAGCGGTAGTCTTCATCGTGCCAGCGAAGGATGTGGTACAGAGAGGTGGACTGAGTTGAGTGCGAAGATCATTTCCTCGGTCAATGCAAGGCTTTTATATCCCTGCCTCATGCATGCATATGCATTAGTAGAGACTTTGGTGTTTCGAGAACGTGCCTTAGGTTAGACGCCTTGACAAATGAAAAGCGGCCTTCTCTGCCACATGTTCAGCCTGCGAGTTTTCAGCGGCCGATCAGCGACCAGTCGAAGGTAAGCGAGCACGCCTTGGAAAGCCCTGTGGAGGTTGGAGCTAAAACAATCCGGATACTGTCGGATTGATTGTATCTGTACTCCGTACAAAATTCTAGTTGCTAATTCTCGTCCAGAGATTGGATGCAACGAGAAAAAGAAGATTCCTGGGAAAGCATGGAAGTATGGGTGGGGTCTCAAGGATCCACTTGTGGTGAAGCTACCATGGTTCATCCCTGCAGGCACACCAATCAAAAATTTCGCCAACTGGCTTTAATCTGTGCCAAGTCACCAATCACACTCCGTGCCTTTCGCATGCCGAGAGGAGTGAAGACTATGTGGCTCCCATATCCCACGCTGTCCTTTGGAGTCACTTCGGAAAACAACTCTTCTTTCCGTATCTCAATTGGGGAATTAACGGCAAAAAGCGACATTGGAGGATGCACGTGGGCTAAAAAGGGTACTTTTAAAGATCGAAAGTGGTAGGTAATAGTGAGCAGCTTTCATTGTGGATAATTATTCAAAAGTCTCCTCCGTAATCGCAGCCCAGGTTAAACCCCCGAGTGGTGAAGTATTCGACCAGCCCATTAACAGAGGAGCCCTCAAAAATGCCTGCAATATACTGATCAGGTCGCAGCAAGTAGACAGCATTCTTGACAAGCCCGACTTTGCCATATTGATCGTGCCAATGGAAAGTAAAAACCTTCACTTTCATCTCCCGGGCCCACTTTTCAAATTCCGTCACAGAATCCCCGTAGATATGGAGCTGCCAAGAAACATCTCGTAGAGTCGAAAAATTGTCCACATCGTTGATTTCAACCCACGGGAGACGGTCGCCAGGCTGCACGCTCCCTTTACCAGACTGGCAAAGAGTGCTGCCTCTATAGTTGCAGACGAGCTGCGACGCCCCCCGGAAGATTCTGGCCCGGGCAAAATCGAATTTCAAAAGAAGGGGCACAAGGTATGGAATCAGCCAATTTCGAAGAATGTGTGGGAAGAATCCTTTCGATGTCAAGGTCTTAAAGCCCGCATCGGTCGACTTGACTATCGTCATGGCAAATGAGCGGCGTTCGGACTCAAAAGAATCCAACAGTTGTTGTTTTGCTTCTTCGGTCATGTTTGTCTGTTTGAGGACCGTTGCTAGCTTCCACGCCAAGTTGATCGAGTCCATGATACCAGTGTTCATACCCTGCCCGCCAACCGGGCTGTGGATATGAGCTGCATCTCCAACAAGGAACGCCCGATTGCTGCGGAATTTGTCGGCCACACGGTGGTGACTGCGGTAGGTGGAGAACCAGTTGACTTTTGTGATTTTGATATCCATCACGTGCATGATTTGCGGTAGAACGTCATCGAAAGTGATCAGGTTCTCATGTTCTGATGATTCACGTTTGTCATCGTCGTCATTATGCGGCATTGTGATGCCAACCAAACGGACATGACCTGCTTTGTTGTAGGGGACTACCAGGTTGAAAGTGTCGTTCGTAAGCACTACGTTCCCTTCGCCATTGAAGTGATTGTCGCTTTTACCTTCGACGTCGGCGATGTAGAACAGCGGTTTGTATGTTTCGCCCTCGAATATGGCACTAATCCCTTGGCGAACAGCCGAGTGTGCTCCATCACACCCGGCTATGTATGAAGCCTCATGTGTGGTTGAGCTCTTATCACTCTCGCGGAATAGAGTAGCAGTGATGCTTAACCCGTGGTCCACAAACCCTTGCAACTTTGTCCCTCGTTCAACACGAATGCCGACGTCATTCAATCGCTTTTCGAGCATTCTTTCGTGATCGTCTTGCGGCACACTTAGCATGAACGGGTAGGGGGATAACTCGCGGCCAAAATTTCCTAGCGGAATGTGTGCTTTGTGCTCCGCATTAATCCAGAGATTTGTTGATGGCAGCTTGTACCCGAGTGCCAGCAAGTCTTCAGTCAACCCAAGCTGTCTATACATTTCGACTATGCGTGCATGAACAACTATCGCTCGTGAGTTTTTCGCCGGACCCTCTGCCTTGTCAAAAATGTGGACATTGACACCTTGATGGTGAAGCCACAGTTGGGCCTGCGCCGACAATAAGAACATCCGTTTTGAGGCTCATTCTTGGAAAATCTTCGGAATCAGAGTATTTCGGTTGAAGTCTTGTATCAAGGACTGGAAGTTGTCGTCAAGAGATGATCAGGTCGGGAATTGGTGGTCATATGCGACATCAGCGAGCGGAACTGACTTTAAACCCAATTTTGACCAAGCAGGTACCATCACTCTGTCAAGAAACAACACTCCAAAACAACGTTGATCATCGCTGTTCGGCTGTTTAATCGCCGACCCCGAGAATCGTGAACTCCAAGGCGGCTAGACGGCATCGGAGCGTCGCGTGCCGATCGGCGCGAGAGTCTCCAACGATGTTGGGGCATACTAAATTTCGACCACGATAGTTGCTGTCAGACCTTTGGATTTTCTACAAATGGTGGGTCAAGGAATTTTGCGGAAATCCTGCTTGGGTCACGACAGATATGAACATATCTAGAAAGGTCCTTAAAACCGCCTTGATCTTCGTCTGAAAAGACCATAGAAACGAACTAGTAACAACACGCTGATATGTTGCTACCCGAAATCATCCCAGGGGGGGCCCGCCTGGCACACCTCGCTTTAGTCCCATGGTCAATGCTCACGTGGGTAAACCCTACCCCGCCCCCCTCCCCCATCCCCAATTGCCATACGAGAAAGGGGTTTCGTTTTGAAATATATGGTGTGTTTGATTGAGTCATCCTGTTTCGGCATAGTGTTACGGACC